TTTTCAATTCTCTATCCAACGATGCCAAAAGGAATTCTGTGGCTCGAATGGTTCTTGAGAAACTTCGAATAAAGGCCATTTAGTTATCTCTGGAATGATGTAAAAACGAGCGTTCTTGCTTATTTTGCTTCCGAGAAACATGCAAAACGGGACGGAAAACATGAACTTTTGCAATAATCTTGCACCACCCTTGCACAAAACGACGATCATTTTTCTAATTTCATAGATAACAGAAGACTGTATTTTTTCTACATAACCCCCCCCCTGACTTTAGTTTAGTTGACGCATGTTTGCGCTCAACTCTTTGAAAAATGCATTCGCCATTTTTCAAACACTTGACTCTACAGATGCTAAGTTTCGCGGAAATTTTGCCAGCTTAGTAAATGCCGACATCGGATAAAAGTTGTTGTTGTAAAAGTGTTAACTTTACAAGACATCGGACGTGCGTAAAATACCGGCGGATTGCCGAACGATCGGACATCGCATAAATGGGACTTTGGACATGGACCACAATTTTGCTGCTGGTTAAAAAACTCTATTGGTCATACGCATTTAAATCACAACCGTTATTATACGAAATGCACATACATAGAAACTGTGAAAAATTAAATAGATTCTCATCAAAACAAATTAGGTGGAAATATCGCTTTTATATTTGATTGCAGTCGGTCTATATTCTTTCTTTTCATGGTAAGGACTGTGCGTGGTTGGTGCATGTAAATAAGGAGTAGCACTGAATCGGTGACCTGCAATATCAACTTCATAAACTGCATCCTTCGCAAGAATGTAGTCTCTGGTCACGATCCGATTTTCAACCTTGGCAGGCTTTGAGATGAATCCCAAGCAAATTAGCTTATTTGCGGAAAATCCATAACTGCAAATGAAGGCTTACAATGTTATGTATGTTGCGTTGTTAAAGATGTTTTACCCTGCGGATGTTACAGTACCCACGAATTCGTTGTTTCTGTATAACGGTTCTCCACCCCATGGCCAAATGTCCACATCGGGGTCAATATTATTAAAGTGGAAAAAGACGAGTCTTTTCCTGACGCCAGTCACACTTTGGTTTTGCAAGGCTTCTTTGCCAATAAAACCTTCTTTCTGCAAATGGACTATTATTACAATGCACCGCGAACAGTTACATCATTTCCAGACCTTATCCAGTCTTACGCTCCAGTCGTTTCCAGCCTCATAGGGGGTTGTAAAGCTGTTAAGTTCCTCGGCCCAAAATGGAATAAACCTTTCCAGCCTCATATAACGCTGAGTTAATACTCCTACATCTCTAACGCCGTAGTCTCGTCCAACCTACACGGTTTAATTCAGACTTCCACTCTTAACTGCTCTAACTGCACTTACGGTCATTAACTTGTAATAAACATGTAGAGCATATTCGGAAGGAATATAGAGACAATATCCCGGTTCTCCTGTATGAGTGAACGACATCACCATCACATCCGATGCATAACCGACATTCACCTTCATATACGAAAATGGGGCCACTTTTACGTCGCTATTTGATAATTCACTTAAGAGTTGAGTAGATTTTGGCCCAACTACGTTCAACACCGTATACATGGACGTTAGATCGTTCAAATCCACTCTGGTATTTGCAGAAACATTCCTTTTCATCCATTCGTAAACCCTTGTTTGTTGGCTTGTTGGTGATACCATGAAAAAACTTCCAGAACAAAAGAACTGTATCTTCGCTTCAAAAATATCTTCATAACAACTACCTGTTTGCAGTCTGCCTTACAAGCATGCAATCGTTTTCATATCCTCCTCGAACATTCTGCATTCCGGTGTGAACAATGGACCCCACAGGAACATCTATGTCATTAGAGCAAATTCTTTGCAAGTACTGTAAGGCTTCGTTCCCTGGTGACTGCAATATATATTGTGTAGCTCGCAAAAATTATCAATAGAACCTGGCAAACCAGATAACTACCGATAATTGCACAGAATAAATTCTAAATTCTATTCTACGGCGATGGAAAGGCTCAGAATCTCACGATCTACAAGCTTAATCAGCATCTATTGTATAAATGTTGTCCGTACTTTACGCCTCAAATCCCGAAAAACTCAGCAATTTCGACAAAAGGTTAGTCATCTTAGGGGCAAAAAAGGCTCAAGAATAAATCTTTGTTTCTTAATCCTGGCAATGTAACCGGCAATATATGATTGCATGCACTATTGACTATCACGGAATTTGGTACATAAATTGTAGGGAACAAATTCGGTAAGAGTGGTAGGTACCTTAATTTCGATCTTCGAAAATGAAGACATATCTATTATACCAACTCCCTCTATACAAGCCAGATATTCCTCTTTTACAAAGTCAAAAAATTTCGGCTTGAAAAATGTTCCTTGCGGCATTTTAAGCTGTTGACCCTCTAAAAGAGTAGAGTGGGTGTAAATTATCATTGGTTGCAAAGTGGAATAAACAAGCATATCGAATTCACACGTACTTTCGTAAGTTGAGTCAAAGTAAAGCGCTCGCTCGTACGCCATTTTAATACCGAAAACGGCTCCTCGGGTTTTTAAGACACTATATAATGGAGAACAGCGTAGTTCTCGTGCATATTTATATTCGCACTGGAACGGATATAAAATTGAATAATGTCTAAAAATAATTGAAAGTTTTTATCTCATAATTACTTACTTAATGGCGATGCTTGAAAAGAAAGCAAACTTTAATGGTTCAAATTGGTAAAATGTGATTAAATGAGAAAGTTCGGTTTCTTTTTTGCACGCATTGGAGTCATTCATATATACCTTCCGACAACCTCCTTAATTCGTTGCTTCAAATAGTGTCTACTATTATGGACATTGAGGAATCGCTGCAATATAAAAGGAAGCAAATCCTGCCTTGGTTCACCTTCAATAATCCATTCGGATATAGCTTTGCCAATACCCCCAGCACCCTTTAATAAAATAAAGACTTTAGCCTACTGATACGACAATAATAAAGCTCTGATTACTTGCAGGGAGTTGCCATTCATTCCACAGGCAACAAAATAATTCTTTACTTCTGGCGCTTCGCCTAATATCCAACGTCCATCTGGCGTAAAGTTATCTGGAGAGTTAACCAGTTGGGGTTCTTGACACCCTTTTAAAATTGGAAATCTATTCACAGCGTTTTGCCATAACGGCCCTACAACCATTCTACATGAGCTATCAATTCTTTAATTTGCTTAGCAGCGCAACGTACGAAAATGGCTTAGATCTTGTTTAACGTGCTTCGGCCAGTCTTTAGGCACTCGGCCTTTCTCAAAAGCAGGTTTAGCTTCTGGTTCAAACCATCCCACCATTAGCCCATTCTGATATTCTCTTGCGTATGTGTAACTATCATAGCACCTAACTACGGGCAGAGGGTGCTTCATGTCTTGATCTAAAACTGGATGATTTCCGTGTTAGACCACCGCATTTTCTTTTAAAAATTTATGAAGAACCCAAAATATTACCTGCAGTGGCATAGAAATGTTCAGCAGGATAAGCGGGTATTCTAACTTTGGGGTCGCAGTGTAATCCTAATTCCCGCGCCCACATTCCAGCGCAATTAACAAAATATTCACACTGAATTATTCCTAAAAAGTAGCGCGAATAATTTTGTGCTGGTTTATAAAGGAAAATTACCTTTGTCTGTTTCAACGCCTTGCACACAGTTATTGTTTGTTAAAACGTTAGTAACGGTTGTGTTTTCGATATAGTTTGCGCCACCTTTTTGAGCTAATAGAGCCAGAGCATCGCATATGGCTTTCGGATTAATCACTGCGTCATCGGGAACCCAAACACCTCCTGCAATATAATTGCTGAATAATTTTTTGTGGGTGGCACTATAGCAAAACAAGCCCATAAACAGCGCGTACCTAAACCACAAATCCGCAGCGGAATAACAACTATTTCTATGTGCTGAGTGAACTAGGGAAACTGGTATTAATTAATAACACTAATAATTAATGCATGGGCCACTATAGAAAGCAAAGTTAAACACTCATGCTAAAATAGCACTTGAGACAACAAACTACCGAATACCTTCCAAATCATCGACTCTCAAATAAGGATGCTTTCGCTGAATTTCTGTATTGCTAAGTAATTCACAATGTAAACCAGTGGGCAAATTGTATGCGACTCTTCTTTTAAGAGCAATAAGTCTATCTTTAGTCTGAGCTAAATTTAAACTACCACATTGTTTCATCTCGACGTTATAGCCCATATTTTGTAACTTTTTATACAAGTTTATACTATACCTAGAATAAAATATATTACGATTTACTAGAGCTACTTTTTGCACGCCTTCTGCTCAGCTCTTAGACAGCAATATCTTGCGTTTTTTAAATTACTTTGCGTATATAGAGAAAAACGTTCATGGCCTCTCATTTGATAGTCCAGTTATCTAACTAAGTAATAATGATAACTTGCCATATAACGTTTCGGTGCGAAATGGGCTTAAATAATCCAAGGGTTCCAGATCCGAAGTGAGATGTCCCACTTCCGATTTTCCTCTGTTCAACTACTGTAACATCATTCCATCCACTTTGCACCAAGTGATATGCAACTGAATTTGCAACAACACCGGCGCCAGCAATTACAACTCGTGATTGAGTGGGAATTGTGGACATGGCTCTAGAATGTCCACGAAATGCTTCATGTGATGCTTGAATAACTTTTTGGGGGCTCAGAAGTCCGCGGTTTATCATCTTCACCGCTGAACTAAAACTTCAACAACAGTTTGGGGCTCAGAGATCTCAGGTCACATCACCTGGGAAGTGACTACAGCAAAACCAGGTCCCGGGGCAGCTGGAAAGTAATTTAATTTATCGTATATGTACATTTGCTATAATTAGATATCAGCAAATGCTTCATTTCCAAGATGCATATTACGGTTTACACACCACAAACTCAATTATCAGAAGTAAAATTCAAACTTTCGCATTTTGCGTGAGAACCAGAAACATTTTTAAGATTATGATCTATATAAAAAAGCGCGTATTTTAATGATCCATCCGGCAATGATAACTGAAACTTTGCAGCCCAAGCGCTTCTCCAAATAAGAGCCAAAGGATCGAGCGGTTTTTAAGATCCGCGTTACTTTCAATTTTTCACATTTTGCGTGAAAACTAGAAACATTTCTAAGTTGATGATTTACATAAAAAAGTGTGTATTTTAATGTTCTATCCGGCAATGACAACTGGAACATTACGGCCCAGCGGTTCTCCTAATACAAGCCAAGGGCTACGAGCGATTTTCAAGATCCGAGTTAATTTCAATTTTTCACGTTTTGCGTGAAAACTAGAAACATTTCTAAGTTGATGATTTATATAAAAAAGTGCGTATTTTAATGTTCTATCAGACAATGACAACTGGAACATTACAGCCCAAGCGGTTTTCCTAATACAAGCCAAGGGCTACGAGCGATTTTCAAGATCCGCGTTAATTTCAATTTTTCACATTTTGCGTGGAAACTAGAAACATTTCTAAGTTGATGATTTATATAAAAAAGTGCGTATTTTAATGTTCTATCCGGCAATGACAACTGGAACATTACAGCCCTAGCGGTTCTCCTAATACAAGCCAAGGGCTACGAGCGATATTCAAGATCCGCGTTAATTTCAATTTTTCACATTTTGCGTGGAAACAGAAACATTTCTAAGTTGACGATTTATATAAAAAAGTGCGTATTTTAATGTTCTATCCGGCAATGACAACTGGAACATTGCAGCCCAAGCGGCTCTCCTAATACAAGCCAAGGGCTACGAGCGGTTTTTCAGATCCGCGTTAATTTCAATTTTTCACATTTTGCGTGGAAACTAGAAACATTTCTAAGTTGACGATTTATATAAAAAAAAGTGCGTATTTTAATGTTCTATCCGGCAATGACAACTGGAACATTACAGCCCAAGCGCTTCTCCAAATATGAGCCAAAGGCTTCAAGCAATTTTCAAGATCCGCGTTAATTTCAAATTTTGCGTGGAAACTAAAACTAAGTTGATGATTTATATAAAAAAGTGAGTATTTTAATGATCCATCCGACAATGACAACTGGAACTTTACAGCCCAAGCGCTTCTCCAAATAAGAGCCAAAGGATCCGAGCGGTTTTCAAGATCCGCGTTAATTTCGATTTTTCACATTTCGCGTGAAAACTAGAAACATTTCTAATTTTTTATGTAACGCCTCACCTTGCTGCACCTCAAAAGAAATTGGGGATGAAATAAGGGGTTCGACCAACGAGGTACGACCTTTTCTGGAACTAATTGAAATTTGTTATGCAATGACAAGCTTACCTTGCGATGAGCAAAGATAGTAAGAACATTAACTTGTTCTTAACTCAGCTGCCGCCTGTATCTTAGGAAGCTTTTCGCAGTAATTAATTTAACATGGTATAATTAAAGATAAACAAAAATACTCAGAAACATAACCGCACTTAATCCACAGATCACAGAGGTTATTCTGTGATCTGTGACTTACTCTATGATTAGCCAACTTCAATGTGCTGCAGCATACATGACCTATTTAAAGCTAAATGATTTTATTCGTTTAATTTCTTTATTTACATAAATAGCAAGGCAGTTTCCAATTGGAATATATGCCAAAATTTTCAGAAAACAATATAAATTTTTTAGACCCCATTTATAGATTCATCAGCACATCTCATTAATCAAAATTGTACAAATATCAATGTAGAAAACACCAGAAGTACATAGTTTTTTTAAATCACAATTAATTATATTGGCTGTAGGCATTTCAATATATCACCGTAAATAGTACTGAATATTCAATTCTAATTTGGTCAATTAATATTTGAATAAAATGACCGGTATTAGGGTTTTTAAATCACTTTTAATAAAGTTGGTCACATGATGAAAATAACTTGCCACAAATGTCAAACAGAACTTCAGCAGATTGGTGAGAAAACTGAACTGAGTGAAATGATAAAAGTTCTCATTTGTTATTGAGACATAAATTCCTCGTATTGAGTTATAGTATGATATTGTATGAATTTGCATAGTGTTTAATCAAATAGTTCGAAACGTTATTAGTGTGAGTGGGGTTGCAAAGGCAGGAGTTTTAATACAAAGTGATAAAAAATGGCAGCCTTACCAAGAAGAATAATCAAGGAAACTCAACGATTAATGCAGGAACCCGTGCCAGGAATTAGCGCTGTTCCAGATGAAAGCAATGCTCGTTATTTCCATGTAATTGTAACTGGACCGGAAGACTCACCATTTGAAGGTGGCCTTTTCAAGCTAGAATTATTCCTGCCTGAAGACTACCCTATGTCGGCACCAAAAGTTCGATTTATTACAAAGATATACCATCCAAATATAGACAGACTAGGTAGAATTTGTCTAGATATCCTAAAAGAAAAGTGGTCTCCAGCACTTCAAATACGTACAGTACTATTATCAATTCAGGCTTTATTAAGTGCACCAAACCCAGATGATCCTCTAGCAAATGATGTTGCCGAATTATGGAAAGAAAATGAGTCTGAGGCTATTAGAAATGCTAAAGAGTGGACACGAAGATACGCTATGGACAATTAATTACGTTGATAAAATATCCTAAACATTATACTTTTAACTTCTAGATAATGGATTCTGTAGGCTGGCACATACATTCATCTTACTGTTTTAGTACGTTTATTATATAGAAACAGACAAAAATTATATCAGTCATATAATATTTGGTAAGTTTCGAATAGTACATATGATCAATGTGCTAATGTGAAAACATCTGTAATTGCCAGTCTATTTCATCTATCTTTCATTTTATGAAGAAAACATTCCAAATCACAACCACTTCTCATCTGAAGCATACATTGAATATTCGGGGATTTTTTGTCGCTACTTTGAACATATTTTAGGCATAATGCTTTTTTATTTCCAGTGACTGCAAGCGCTAGTCAGGTTGCAATACTACGCATAGTTTTTATTGATATTCTCTATTGCAACATTAAGTGATTTGGAATGTTCCTTATTATCGCGTAATTAACATGGTAATTCCATGTTCATTTTTAACATTGACTAAACGGAATCAAACATTTTCCGCGGTCGTGCAGAGCCAAAGTTATAAAATTTAACTTTAAATCAATTTGAGAGTGAAATTACCATGTCCCTTACAATAGAGTTCGAAGAAATGTGTTGCAAGATGTATAATCTATTTTGAAACCCATATTAACGATGTAACTGAGTTTTATCATATAGTTTAATGTTATTTGGAGACAGTGGCATAAAGGAAGATTGTAATCAATTTCAGCATTTTATCACTAAATCAAAATTACTTACGACGCATTAAAGCCCCGTTTGTAGGTTTTTGGTATTTACCAAATAGAGAACAATATATAATTGACCAAACATTTACGCTTTGGTATATTATTTCAGTGCTAGGCATGTTTAAAAGGGTGAACTGTAGTTTGTTGTAAATAAAGTTATGTAAGGCTTTTTACGAATAAATTCCTTTCAATAATCCATTCAGATTTTTTTTTGTAGATCTTAATTTGTGGGACGCGGAAATATTTTTTTTTGGGAATGGGGGACAATCAAACAAATTTACTGTCAAAAGCGGTTTATTTCGCCAAATCTCATAACTCAATTACACTTTATTGGTTTTTGCAGTGCTCGATTTCTTCTTGGAAGTGTTGTCCATGAACCTCGCGTCTCGCTGAAAAAAAGTCTTCATTTAATGGGCGAAAATAAAAAAATATAAATTCTTATAACTGAAATTAAAAATCAGAACTGCAGGGATATCATCTTGTTTCAGATAGTGTGATGTTCATCATTTGTCAATTTAAGCATAAAATAGCATGTTAACTGATTTTTAGTTACCTTTTTATATAATACATCTGTTCCTCTGTGTTTTGCGACGAATGTAAAGAGGAGGACTGCGGATGTTCTGGAAAGATGCTTTTAAAATTAAAATACGCGTACATTAATCAGCTAGTGATTGGGAATATCTGGGGATATTTTCATCAAAACACACGATGCATTAATTCTATTAATATTTCATGTATGTTCTTACCTAACAAAATTCCTTAAATCATCGGGTGAGGAATAACCGTCTCCTAGGTTGGCCAAGCAGTCTTGACCAAAATCACCATTGTTACCTGTGTGTTGGATCTTTTCCAAATGCCATTGACATAAACTAAAAAAAATATGTATTAATGCTCTACTTCAAGATAAGCATATAAACCTAATGAACTAGTAAAATCAGAACTGCAGGGATATCATCCTTTATCAGATAGTGTGATATTTTCATCATATGGTTCAAGGGCAAATCATTGTAATTTTGTTTTTAATAATTATAATCAGGTTCATTGTTTCAGTTTGTTTGCTTTTTATGTTGTTTCTCCAAAAACTGATTAAGCACAATTTGTTCATGGAAATTCTTTAAAATGTTGGTTGGGAGCAGTTATGGTGTAGTGTCATTAACAGAATTTACTATTTGCCTTATGGCAGGTTTACGAATAAAGAATTATATTTATATATTTTTTATTAGTCAGCCATAACCACGTGGAACTATAGCTAACCATCATTTAACCCTTCATCAATTGAAATACCATGGAATCCATTGAAATAAAAACAATATTAGTGATGTAAAATCTCTCACCTCTGAATACTCGAATTCACACCATGTTTGAGACATTACGGATCACAAAGTGTTTCGGCAATTTATGGTTTGATAAAAGGATTAGAATCAAGAAATGTGTTCATCAACGACTATGGCAAAAAACACAGATCATGAATGAAAAAATTGTACATGAAACTCAACTTTTATACAAACTTCATTACCAAACTACCAACACTATGGAATTAAAGCACTGTTTCCGGTGTTTTGTCCTCTTTAATATCGGCGTTTATAGTTATTTTAATTTCAACTACGGAAAGTAACCATGTACTAATCATTGTTATAGCATCAAAAATGTGTGTAAAAACTTTTAAGTCGCCACAATTGGCAGTTTTATTCAATCAAAAATCCCCTAAAAAAAGATAGCGATACCTCCATCAAATGATTTTAACTTTTTTCGAAAAAAAATTGTTTCACTCTCATTTGTTTTTATAGATATGTAATTGTTTTCAAATGTGAGTAAATATCTTAAAATAACTACACTTACATTCATTCCCATTCAGTTTTTTTAATTATATTTGTTACCTTCGCCATATCTGTTGGCAGGCGTGTTCGTGTTGCCATTTTCAGTTTTGTATACATATTATATTTTTGACCAAAAAGTTATAAAAAGAGTTTTTCATTTTAAGCCGATGCCTAACTAAAAAGGGGTTTGTAAGTATTTAGGATTCCATTGCAATGGAAGAGAAACTGTCGATTAATTAAAGAACATTTTTTTGTAAGTACATTTCTGAATAATTGTAAGTAATTTTCTTAATACGAATAAAATAACTTTACTGTTCTTAAATTTCCTTTGGTTACTGTGGTAAACCAATTACATATCATCAGGGCTGTAAAAAAGCTGTTGAAATATAAATAAACATTTGCCTGCCAATCAGTGGCAACTAACCCCAGATAGAACGCCCCAATTTAAAACCCGTATCATTAAGATTTCTAAATTAGAAACATCTATTTGGAATTTTTCTATGGCCAATTATTCATTATAGAGCAAAATTTTCAAAAAAGCTGATACCGTTGCGGTATTCTGCACGTTCAAAAAAGCATATGGTTAACACAAACCAAGAATGTTATTGCAAAAGTAAAATGAAATAAATTGATAAAATTATTTTAAAAGCAAAGGAATGGCAAATACGGGAGGCAGTGTAAAGGAAATATGTGATAATGTGGCACTTGCAAGAGAAATGACTGTATTGTCAAACTATGAAAATGCTGTGATTTATTATGAAGGATCTCTTCAACTTATCTCCAAATTTATTTCTCAAATATCTGATCCGATCAGAAAAGACAAATGGCAGCAGGTAATGTACATTTGATTTTTTAACGTTTAGATTTTCTTCTAGCATGTAATTTTAGATGCAAATGAAAGTTAACAAAGAGTATAATGCTCTAAGAGAGTTGAAAACAATATTAGACACATTTAAATTTGAATGCAGTGGTGATCTACCTATAGGTGCTAGGAGAAGGGATTTGCCACCTGACTCGAGTATTATAGATCTAGGAATTCCCGGTGACCCAGATGTTTGGCCTGCACCTACTCCGGTTGACCATGGAAACGTTCCAAGGTATTTGATTCAAACAAGATTAGTATCAGTTTGTCTCCAACAATCCTCTACTAACTAGAACCAAAGTAAAGGCCAGTAGTAACAGAAGATCAGACATCAAAAAAGGAGGACAGACTAGTGCGAGAGCAAGTTCTTCCACTACGTCTAGAAGATCAGAGATTGTCAAGCCACTAAATAAAGGCACTAAAAAAGATGAAAGACCCTCCAGCTCCAAGTCGGAAAGGTAACTTGTATGCCTTTTTGAACTTCTGAACTTGAATTAATTTTTAGGAACAATGACAATGCAAACGATACAGAATCTGCTGGTAAAGCGGAGGCAAAAGAGGAGCAACCAGAAGAAAAGAAATTCGAATGCAACGGAATGGAGCGGGAATTAGCTGACATCCTAGAAAGAGACATAGTGCAAAAGAATCCAAATATTAGATGGGATGACATTGCTGATTTACACGAAGCAAAAAGATTATTGGAAGAGGCTGTTGTGTTGCCGATGTTGATGCCTGACTTCTTCACAGGCATGTAAATTAACTGGTCTTGGCATCCAGAAGTACATTTACAACCTTACAGGTATAAGGAGACCTTGGAAGGGGGTTTTAATGGTGGGACCCCCAGGTACAGGCAAGACCATGCTGGCTAAAGCAGTAGCTACCGAATGTGGCACAACATTCTTTAATGTATCTTCTTCAACTTTAACATCGAAATATAGGGGAGAATCTGAGAAAATGGTCAAATTATTATTTGAAATGGTAAGTTATATTTCTCGTACATGTGTATTTTGACTATTGATCATTTGTAGGCGCGATTCTATGCTCCAAGCACCATTTTTATTGATGAAATAGACTCGCTTTGCTCTAGAAGAGGATCAGAATCAGAGCACGAGGCATCTAGAAGGGTCAAGTCCGAACTACTGGTTCAAATGGACGGAATTACAGCACACAATGGGGAACCCGGCAAAATAGTGATGGTGTTAGCAGCCACAAATTTCCCTTGGGATATTGACGAAGCTCTTCGCCGCAGATTGGAGAAGAGAATTTACATTCCTTTGCCCACATTAGAAGGCAGAGAAGCGCTTTTAAAAATAAACTTACGAGAAGTTAAACTAGATCCGAATGTGAATCTTAAAAACATCGCCCGCAAACTCGATGGATATTCCGGTGCTGATGTTACCAATGTATGTCGCGATGCATCGATGATGTCCATGAGGAGGAAGATTTGTGGTTTGAGACCTGATCAGATCAAGCAATTACCGAAAGAAGAATTAGATCTTCCGGTTACCGCGCAAGATTTCGAAGAAGCCATTGTAAAAAATAATAAAAGTGTTTCCAAGGAAGATCTCGGTAGATATGAGAAGTGGATGAATGAATTTGGATCTTCTTGATAGTTTGAATAGGCTTCAGGAAATACTATTAGTCTTAATAACACCATATACTTAATACTTTACTCGATTTTCGATACTACAATTCTATGTAGTTAATTTTCCAAGTTGCTAACACAACCTGTGGTCAATAGATGGTTTATTGTGCGGGAATGGCATTCCTAATATAATTGAGATGTTTACTTTTTCAAATAATTTCGATAATGTTGTCTATTGTTAGTTTTACTATTGACTTAAATTTACTCTACTATTTGTTTGACTACTTTTTGTATATTTACCTATTTATTGTTGAATAATAAAATAATGTTTTAATTCGACGTGTTTGTTCTTTGGTATTTAGTGTAGTCGTTGTGCCCTGCTTTAGAGACTGTTTTTACGAAGGAATTACGTTCGGAATCCCTGCTTTAATAAATTTTAAGAGACCTGTTTTTGAAAACGAAAGAAGTTTACGCCTGTATAATCAGAAGGGTTTCGAGCATAGTTTATTTGGAATTTATTGGCCGGCTACATATAGTTGCCGATGGAAAATGTTTGTTCAATAGAACGCCGGATTTTTGCAGTTTAGTGGTGGACGCCACTGGTTTAAGTATTCGTTTTCGTTGGGACGCCGCGACGTCAGGGTGGCATTGCGGCGTCGCACAAATCGACGCATGGCGTCTAATTTTTTGAATAATCCTGTAAATTTGTGAATAATTTTTAATAGCAACGTGCTCGAACAAATAGAAATAATCGCGGTAATTCCAACAGTCAGTACTAAAAGTGGAAAGCTGGTTTTTGAAGAGTTATAAACCGGTTGCCGGCGCTCCAATGGAAATATTGATTTTGGGTGGACATGACTTGTATATAAAACATCCCTCGTTTGTACATGTACATAATTCGGTGCAGGATGCCGAAAATCAATTGTGTAACTAAACAGAGTGTCGCGATTAATAATCCAGAGGAAGACTGCAGTTTGGTGAATTTATTGGGATCTCATTAAATTTATTACTTTCCAGTAGCAAACATGCATGAATATTGATTTACGTCAACATATCTTACTTGTTGGTTAGTGTGGTTTCGCCATCCATGTCGATCAGGAAATCACTTTCATGTAAAATCATCAAAATTATTGTTGAAGCGGTATGTATTCACTGTAGTCGCGTAGATAGAGATTCATTAGAGGAAAACTGCACTCCAATAGCTGAAACACTTGCCTACGAAATATTAAAGTATAAAATTGTTCGAAATATAGTGATTTAGTTCATGCACGTCTGTAGACATGAAATAAAACACAAAGTTTCTAGCAATTATATTTCAACAGTAGACAAGTGTTTCAGCAACGGGGATGCAATTTTGAAAAGCGCAATTCGGATTTTATATGCCTAAGTTTGATTTCTTATTGAACCTATATCCTCTTACTCTTAACACAATAAACTTGCAGTAAATATGAGTTGTATACACAGGGTGTTGAAAGTTTTCAAACCTGGCAAATGAAAATGAGCCCTGAAAGTCCAATTATGGCCAATTTCTTATTGCTCTGAGTAACGGATGATTTACTTATATTATAACATTTAATTGTTCAAACGGTGTCTGATACTGCTGTTTCGCAATTGATTCCTTAAATTACTGACTAAATCGCTTTGAAAGTCCCGCTTGAGGTTGCACCTTCGTGAAAGATCACTCAGAAGTGACACTGACAATATGGAAAACAAAACAATCACTCGAAAGTGGGGCTAGGAATTGTTTTTATTGAACTTAACTAGAAAACAGAGCGTTTATTACATTTTAATAATGTTTCTATTAATTACTATCACAATTGCCGGCGATAATAGACAGTCTTTTTGATCTACGCAGCGTTTACTATGGGAACTATATAATTAGAGATGACCAGTCTGACTCTACCTCTGGATAATATTGATGTGAGTGAAAATACTGAACAAATTAGTAAGTTGTTTCCGAAGTGTAGACCCAGGAGTGATATTAATTTAAATCCCATTGTCGCTTCATCAAAGGATCATGAGTGTGTGGAAAATACTTCTACAAACACGGTCATGAATGTCCAGGATGAAAATGATAGGTAAGCAGATCTTGTCTCTAGCAATCATTTCAAGACTTAACTATCAGTCTGAACCTTTTATAAAATTAGGTGAGCATTTAAAACACCCTGTTTTTCATTCACTCTCTTTTCAAAACTCTTCATTTCTATTTGGGTCAGGTTTTATTATATTTAGCTACTACTCAGAATACGTGTTTATACATAATGGTCTGAATTTAATCTATGATATTCTGGCAATAATCTACATCAGTAGGTTATGAAGTCTATATACACGATGGCTCAAAAGTGGAGATGACTAGAATAATAAAAATTTCGTTTTTGCAGGACTTCTAACATTTTTATTTACTCATCAGGGCACCTAATTCCCAAACGAAACCCCATTGGGGCATACATGTCTCTCTGATATTTACTTCCTTACTTATTAACGTATATTCATATTATATCACTAAAATCGGAACATTTTTATAAAAAAAAATATATATAATATATAAATAATCTTTATTTCCTACAGAAAAAGGCTATCGACCCAATCGGTCTTTCTGCCCTATTAAAAAATATTTTCACCAGAAAACTTGTATTGAATCGCAAGGGGTTAAAGGAGACTGCAAACACTGCTGGACACTTTTCGGTTGGCCATCCTGTATATTGCAAGTAGTCAAACTCAACACAAACAAAAGTTCAATTATTTCAATAAATACGTCTTGCACAAAATGTTTTATTTACCTATGTAAATTTTAAATTTTTTTATTATGCATTTATGTAGTTTTTTATCCGGGGTCCGCGGCCAAAAGAGCTTGGGATCCACTGTTACAAATCAACAAATAATACTAAAAATCTCGAGTTGGTCAGATCCGAAAATCTACTACATGTTGATACGCGTTAATGCAAATAAATAAAAAAATTTAGTTTTTTTGAAATAAAAATACCGATTTTTTAATTTTCTTTAAATGCTACCTAATTTTATAGAGGAAGTTTAAATTAGCTGATTATCTCCAAGCACTTATACATATAAGTTTCTTCCATTTCATCAACAAATAATGTTCCATCATGAAGTTATTTCATTACCATACAAGATCTGCTGCATTTGCCTTTATATACAGAATTTAAATTCATCAAGTACTTAATTGCATGTTTGGTTAAGCGACAGAGAGTTAGTAGCTAAAAACAGATATTAATAAAAGTCAACAATATTACATTTTGCGAGTCCGCATAGCATCATGATGCAAAAAGCGTTTAGAAACCACGGAATCGAACTTTTGCAGGTGGGTGGCAGATAGTTCCTGTAATATTAATAGAGACAATAATTCTCCATGTTACTCACCAGATGATGATTGTATGTCAGAGCACAAGTCGTCTAGTGGAACCTATAAATTAAGAGATTCTAGGTAGATATAAAAATACAGAACTTTAAAGGGATATTTAGTAATTGCACTAAGCAAATCTATTACTACAATAGCGAAACGTTAAAAGCAAATAATTTAAGGATAATTGAGATTGCGGGTGGCCGAGAACTGTATTCGCAAAGTAGAACGAAAGCGGTACGAAAGTCTAGAAGTAGTCAATATTTAGGAGAAGATGGAGAACGGAAATTACAGAGATTGCCAATGAAGCAACAAGGTGTATGGGAGCTGCGTAGTAAAAATAATGAAGCCAAAAAAGTAATAAATACATTAGCTACTATACACAGAGCGATCAAAAGAACAAATGCTTTTCCCAGGTTGGAAATACTCGAGAGTATACTGACACAATATTTTCAACTGAAGTGGGTCCGATGACACACGGAAAAGAATCTCAAAGTCCATCAAAGAAGCAGCAAAGCCCTACTAATATGCCTTTTCCGGAGGAAGTTGTTGTTTTTGATGATATAGGCGATGGTTGGGGTAGTGATAAGGAAAAGCAACATGAACCCCACGAAAATGAACAAAGCGGTTTCACTGCTAGTCATTCGTATGACTCAAACAACATTGATAGTGATAAAGTAACTAAGGTAACTTACACACTACTTACTAATTCGCAAACTCGCAGTTACCCTGAACTCGTTCTTAGGTAATTGGAAGTTTGCCAATAGCAGTATACGACGGTTCCCCCAGGCGGTATGGTCCGCGACAAACAGGAACCAATAATTCTCATATGCAGTTGCCTAGCGCACAGAGCTTGTTGGCGTCTCCTAGTGTATATCCTCCAAGGCCTGGGTTCCCTCAAAGGATCGTTACTAGTCCCAATCCCAGTGAAAAAGAATGTAATAATAGTAATGTAGAGAATAATTCCTATAACGTAAGTATTTTTTTGAAGGTCCTGGCAATGTGTTGCATATAATATGCTCAAACATTAAGCTGATTATGCAGTGTGTTGATGGAAACGATTGATGAAAATTTTTTTGCGCATTTTCTAATGCTGTTTCACATATGCGTGAACATTATTGAAGGCGATGAGGTAACGGTCAAAGTTGTCTTCTTCCCATGACTGATTCTGGAACTGGTGCTGTTGCTGTATTTATACCACCCTCTATCTGTGGAATGGCGATAGAGTGGGGAAAAAGAGCGCGCGGCTTCTGGTTTAACGCAGAACTCGAAACAGGCGTTGCGCTGCGCATCGGCTTCTCAGCACCAGTTGAAGAATCAGTCATCGAAAGACCACTTCGAGTTTCGATAATTTTCACCGCAAATGTGAGCGAAACGTCGGGAAGTACAGTAATACCAAAGGTCCACGGTTCATAATCCCAGAAAACTTATCAACGTATATTTTAACCAGCCGTGATAGTCGTAACTGAAATGTTTTGCGGATTCATTCCGGACACTGTATAGTCAGTTTTAGGTTTGTTGGAGGAATTGGTATCAGGAGGGGGCGTTATATTAACTTTTTAACCACGTACTCTCCTTGAAATTGAATTTAGCAGTTCGGGCAACATTTAACTTGTAGATAAGTTCTATATTGTTGAGGCGGATTCATTTTTTTACAAACTTTTTGTTGGGTATTTTGCCTCAAAAATTTTTGTCTTTAAAAAAGACAGAATTTCCTCACGTCTTCTATTACAGATTGATAAATAGTGCTCCTATTTTGCAATAAGAACCTGCGACACACTTAGGCTCAAGCTGTAAGAGAAAATTCCAATTAGAAAAGAAATTAATTTCAAAAATTACCTTGACGTTTCGATAGCTATTTTCTGCTATTTTCTGCTATCGTTATCAAAAGAACCTAAATGAACTAATAATATTCAACATTTCGACTCAAATCACCCGATAATGGTTAAAAAAGTGGTTTTTAGTCTATATGATAGAGCAAAAATAATTTGTAATCGATCTAATTTTTCCAAAGAAAAACAATTTATAAAAGAAATTCTAAATATCAATAATTATCCAAATTCTTTTATTGAAACATTTTTTAACGAAATTGAATTCCCACGAACAAAACAAAATCAAAATAAACCTATTACGAACCTTTTCATTCCATTTATTCCAGGACTTTCAGATCAAA